CTTAACCGCAGTAAACCGCAGTTAGAAATTTCGAGTAGAGACTTGATAACGTGATCACCCTGAGTTGAAGAATTCTATGGTGACAATGCTCATAATAATTAATAAATTTTCATTTTTAAATATCTTTATTATATTTATTATTTTATTAATTTGTATTATTTAACATATATTTTATATCTTTATTTTATTATTTTTATTTTATAGTTGAAATTTACTAAAATAGTTAGTTTATAGTATAATAAAATAGTTAGTCATAGCAAATTAATTTTGTATAAATAGAATAGCTTTTTGTTAAGTTGTAAATTAACTCTTTTATGAATTTTAAATTATTAATAAAAAAATCAATTTAAATTTATACAAATTACTTTTCCTTTAACATTGTTTCTTATCTAGGATTTATTATGATACTTTATATTAACTTGCTATTAAATTCATTATTATAAATTCAACTAAATATATCTTAAATTCTAAGATGCAATAAATTACTAAGTTGATTTAAGTATAACAGATACCTATAAGACTTAAAAAAAAGTCCTAAGATCAGAAACTCTAGCATATAGAATCAATTGCTATAGCCTTTTAACTAGATATTAAGATAACTAAAAATGAATCTAGTATCACTATTAAAAAATTAAATCATATAAAACTGAATTGTAAGACTAAATTAATCCATTTTTTTTCAAAAGTTAGAAATAATAAAAGTAATTCTTAAAATAGGTGAACTTTTAAATATGTTATGCTTTTTCTTCCTTTTTGTTAAAATACCTTTTAGTTTTTCTTTTTAATTATCTCAGCATATCTAAAAATTCAGATTTCATTATAGAAAAAAAATATAAAGAAATTTAACAAAGTGAATCAAAAGGTCTGTTGAATTTAAAAGAGAAAATATTTTTTTTAAAAGCATGAAAGATAGATGATAATATGATTCCTTTTGATAAAAATATAAAAGAATCTATATTCTTTGAAAAATCTAAATATCATTTGTTTAATTTATATATAAAATCTAATTTTTTCCTTATTTTTATTCAATTTTAGCATAATATAAGTATCAACAAATTGGTATAGAGAAGATCTAATACTAATAATTTTGTCTATTTTTATTAAGCATTTTCATAAATATTGATAATTTTCTTCTGTTTGATTGCAGGTAAAATACATCCAGTCTTTATAAATATCTGATTAATAGATAATTAAATTAGATAAAGTAAGTAACTCATTGGTTAAAGCTTTGAGTTTGAAGGCTTTCTTTTTCTTTTAAATGAAAAAAATGTTAACTTTAGTATCATCTTTATTGATGTTGAAAACTCTTATAGAACTATTCCAATGAATTTTTGATTTGTTATTAAGATCAATTAATTGAAATTTTCTATTTAAATTCAAAAAAGAAGAAAATTGAAAGAAAGCATTCAAATCTTTCTAAAATTTCTTAAATATGATTTAGTTAGAATATTATTAAAAATAAAATAGAATTATAAGTCATCAAAAGTAATATAATTAAGATAAGAGAGAGTTTAAATATATTATTCTTTGCTAATTTATCAGCTTTTTTATTATAAAAGTCTTCTGAGTGTTATTAACGTACAATCTTTTTAAGTTGCAATTGTTAGACGCAGTGTCAGAGGGTTGATTTTTTTATAATTTACGTATAATACTAACTAGTTTTCTGCTAAGTTCAAGTTGTTTTATTTATCAATTTATCAGATTAGATCAAAGTTATTAAACGCGAGTAGCTTTAAACACAGATCAAGAATTATTACAATAACTGGTAAAGAGTCTTATGATTAAGAAATAAGAAATACTTTATTAAAATAGAAAAGAAATAATAAGTAAATAAGAAACAGAAATACATAAAGGAAAGAGTAGTGTTGTGCTATCTTAGAGTTCTGGATGAGTCAAGTTAACTCACAAGTCAGATAAGCTGAGTCGAGTTTAAATCAAGTCGAATTTATGTTTTTTTGACTCAATGATTTGCGAGTCAAGCTAAATTTAAGTCGAGTTAAATATTTAACTCAACTTCATTTAAACTCAACTTGATTCAAGTTGATTCAAGTTGACTTGAAATAGTATTATTTTTAGAGATGTTAAAATCCAGTTTGATCTTAATCTGGTTCTGAAACTTCTAGTCTATAAGACTTGGGTCCTAGAATTAGATTCTAGGATCAGGTCCTGAAATTGCAGTTCTAGGACTGCGGTCCTATAGAAAAATAATTGTTCAAGAAGAACAATAAGAAATCGTTTGACTTGAACGATAAAAAAATCATTCAAGAAGAATGATGAGAAATCATTTGACTTAAACGATAAAAAAAATCATTCAAGAAGAACAATGACAAATCGTTCGCTTCCCTCTCCCCTCCTGATCTTTTTTTTATATTTAAATGTTTATAAAAATTTAAAATTGATTTATAACTTGATTTGAACTTGACTCAATTTAAATAAATTCAAGTCAAAATTGAATCGAGTTAAAATCGAGTCAAGTCAAATTAAGTTGAATTTAAAATTTATATAACTTGAATCAAATCAAATTAAAAGATTTTATAAAATAAATTTGACTCAATTCGACTCGAAAAAAAGAGTTGAATAGAGTTAATCTTTAAATTTGACTCGACTCGACTCATTCAGAACTCTAATTTGAAATATAATAAGACATCAAATGTTTTAATTTTGAAATTTTATTAATAATCACGTGATTATCATAATATCAAATTTTAATTAGTTAAAATTAATTACATAACAAATATTAAATTTTGTTTATTAATTCATTAATATTTTCAAAAATAAAATCTGGAACAACTCAATGTGATTTATATTTTTTTAAAATATATTCAGCTTGTAAACCAGTTAATCCTTTTTAATAATATTCCATAAATTTTGCTGATTTATTAGCATATTTACGTATCTGACTTAAAGGAACTGAATCTAATGCATCTAGAACTGTTTTTTGTAATTCTTTTCATGTGTAATTACAATGTTGTCAGATATATCATTTTGCAGCTCCTAATACATTTCAATGTAATTGAATTCACAATGAAATTTTGGGTAAAAGATTACTTTATGTCCCAATCCTTCAATAATTTTCTGCAATAATAATTTTTAATTACGAAAATCCTCTTGAGCAGCTAAAATATGATATGCACAACATCTTGAATTTTTTAATAGCATATCACTTTTATCACAAAAGCTTTTAATCCTAAATTCCATAAACCACGTTCTTGTAAATTACTTTCATTCCTTTAAGTTTTCTGTGAAATATTTTATTAGAATAATTAGAAGAAAATATCATAGTTTGAACTTGACTATTAAATATTGTATCACACATAATTGGCTGTTTATCACCAGGATTAAGATTCATATTTATTGCATTAAGAATATCATTAGCTAATTTTGCATGACTAGAAGAATTATCAAAGGCAAAAATAGCTATTATACCTGAATATGTTTTTTTAAAAATTGGTATAGCTTAGGTTTTAATCTAAAAAATAAAAAATTTTTTATTTAATTTAATAATTTTAATTTATTTTATATTATTATAATAAAATACCTGATCAATTAACTGATCAACATTCCACCATCTATCAAAATTTTTTTTAGGATGAATTATAATACAGGCTTTACTTGGAATGGTATTATCAATTTCTTCTTTATTTATCTTCAATCTTCTAATTGTATCAGTTAAAAAATCACCAACATGAATTGTTCTTTCTTATCCTTTTTTTTGTAAAGGTTGTTCATTTTTAGGTCTCCAATCTGATTTTTATCTATCATTTGATTAAAAGGTTATTTCATCATGAATAACAAGAACATGTATTTTTTGTTCACCTTCTAAGTTAGAATCAATTCTAGTTTCAAGTTTATTACCAATAAATTTTAGCATTAAATTTTGATAGCTATAAAATTATATGCATAAATGTAAATATAAAAATTATACAATTAATATAAATAAATTAAAACATAAATTAAAAAATAAATTTATTACATGATCATAATTTTAAGAAATTCTTTTTGATAAGCAACAACATCATCTCTTTTATAACTATCAATATACATTTTTTTATATATTGACTAAATACAAATCCCACTTTTTTTAACCATCGAATTGCTATTTTTTTGCTATAAAAATATATTAAAAATTTTGATAAATATAATATAAAATAATTTATAAAATATAATGTAATAAATAAAGTTTACCTAATTTTATTTTTTTTTTTATGCTAATAGAAGGTAAAATTTCATTAAAAATATAATCACAAAAATTGGTAATGGTTACATCAAATTTATGTTGCCGCAAATATGATACCATTTTTAGTTAAACATCCTTATTATTAAGAATACTGCTTCCTTTAAAATGTTTTTTGCAATTATTTTGAGAAATATCACAATAATTAATAAATATTTTAGCCCAACTTCTAACATAATAAGTAAACTATTTTCCTTGATTAAAAAGGTCTACAATAACTTGACTTATATTTAATTTTGTATGAACTTTATTAAGGAATTACAAATAGTGTTAAATAGCTTTGAGTCAAATTTTATATCCTAAAGTTAAGTATTTATTTTCAAATTTTAATTTATTTTCAATTATATCAATAAATGCTTGTATATTTTTTATAGGTTTATTATTATTAGAATCAATATTAGGATTACTACCTAATCTACTACCAGAGTTATCACTAGAGTTACCATCAAAATTACCACTAGAGCCACCAGAATCACTGTCAAAACTATTATCAGAACTACTGTCAGAACCACTACTAGAATCAGATAACAGTTGATAAAGGGTTTACCTATTTTTTTTCTATTCTTTAATGCTTCAGTTTTTTTTGATATTTAGTTATATGTGAATTTTTTAAATATATTAATAGACGTTTAAATAAGTTTAATGTCTTTATTTTTTCTATTAAAACTGAAAAAAGGTGTTTCATCTCATTCTCAATTTGATTATCAATCCATTCAATTTCATTCTTTATGTTATCTTCATTATCTGAACTTAAAATATCATTAGAGATATCATGACTTTTCTCAACTTCAAGTTTTTTTTCTTTGCTAAATCTTTATAAAGCTGTATTTTTCATTTTAAATATGGTATATTAAAGTTCAATCAATTGATATGTCTCATGCATGTAGACTAAACTATATATAGATGATTATGATTTGTATATCAACTGATCTGGCTCACATTATAAAAATTTGATTTAATTCAGGCTGAAATTATTATTTCAAATTTTCATTCACTTAGGAAAATATTTGAACTTTGCAGCTTAATAATTTTTTATCTTGATATTCAATCAGAATAATCTCAATGTTATATTATAGGGCTGATCAATATTTATCAAACTATGTTGAAATATTTTAAATACATGCTCTGAAAATTTTTTTATTAAATTTTTAAGCTGGACAAATTTTATTGAATACCTTATTGTGTCCTCCACTATACTATGTAATATTTGAAAATTAATATATAGTACACATGATGTATATTATTTTCTTAGTTTCTATTAGTTATACGAAGTAATAGTACATATACTAAAATTTACTTTTTGTACAAAATACAAACTATATAAATCATATAATTTATTTAATTATTTATTATAAAATATAGTATAAATCATCTATAAATATAGTATCTATAGATCTCTGTTAAAAGTTTCTGAATACTTTTTTACCTAATATTGAACTCAAAATTTTTATACAAAATAATAAAAAGTTTATATAAATTTATTTTAAATTAATAAAACTCTAAATTTTATATTAAGCAACTAATACTTAGTCAGGCCTCCTTGTGCAGTAATAACAGCTTGAATTCACTGTAGCATACTATTAACCAAGTCTTTGATAGTCTTTTTTAGAATTTTTTTATACTTTTTAATATGTCATTTAATATCAGTAAGGTTAGATAGTTTTTTCTTTTGTTCACTAATATTTTTCTTTACCTCAATCTATAGATTCTCAATTGGATTGAGATCTGAACTTTAAGCCAGCCAAGTTAATACATGCAAGTCATTTTCAGCTTAAAATGCCATTGCAACCTTTGATTTATAAGAGTGAGTATTATTTTCTTAGAACTAACTATTACCATTAGAAAATACTTATTTTATGGTTAGTTTAATATATTTGTGAAGAATTTCAACATGTAAAGCACTAGTTGCAGTTCTAGTTAATAGTATAATTAAACCTAAATATTATCTTGAAAAGTATCTCTAATATATTTAACTAGGATTATGCTTTACTGTAGCAGCAATACAAGAAAATTTCCATTTGTCTTCAGATTCTCGTCACACTCTGCTATAACAATTCTGTTAAAACTAGATAAAGTTGATTTATCACTTCACATAACTTTTGCCCAATCTTTCTTTATCTAACTTTGATATTTCAAACACCATGCAATATGAGCTTTCTTATTTGCAGGTAATATGAGAGGCTTTCATTGAGCAAGACAGTTTCTTAATCTAAAAGAACAAAGTGTTTAGCCAATAATACAATCTGAAACATCCTACCTAATTTTCTTTTTTCAAAGCTGCTATACTTTAGCAATACAAAGACAATGATTATTTAATTTATTATTTGTCATAAGTTTCTTAAGCTAATTTCATTAAGATTCTTTAATCAAAGGTAATCTTTTAGAATAAAGCTTCAAATTGGTTGATCTTATATCGCCAAATTATTTCAAAGTATCAAAAACAGTTGACACTTCACAATTGACAGTTTCTGCAATAGTTTAATAATTATTACCATATTAATGATAGTAAAGTATAACACTATATTATTATTTAGTTAATTTTTAATTTTTTCATATTATTATTTACTATTTCAACTATTTTCAGAGAAAAGAAAGAGTTTGTTTGTTTTTATTTTAAGATAAGTTAAAATAACATACTTTTTATTATAAATTAATATAAACTAATATTGTAACTTCTTCTTATAACTGCAGTATCATTTGGTCATATGATATAATAATGTATTTATTTGCATTTAAACTTGATTTTCAGAAACTTTTAGCAGGAATCTGTAGTTTCATTTTACATCTTTATTTTATGCTAGATATTTAATACTCTTTACTGACTCAATGTTTATATCATCTATATTAAAATTATCAACATTATCTATTTTTAAAAATTGGTTTATTTGATTTTGAAACTGCTCTTCTATATTAACATTGTTATCATTATTCATATCATCATCATCTTCAAATTCATTAGATTTTAATTCATTTTTATTATTATTATTAAAATTTGCTTCTTTGTTTTGTTCATCTAAATTATCTTATTATTTTAATTCAATGTTAGTTATAGTTGATTTTAACAATATAGATTCTTATTTACGTCATTTATAAATAATATTAGCCTGCAATTTAGTCATATTTAATACAAGAAATTATATAAAATAATATAATTATTTAATTTAATTAATATCATATAAGAATCTATTAATTATATCAAAAATTTAAATAAACAAACTCATAATTATGGAATTATTTAATTACCTTTAATCAATTTTTAATTTTATATGAAAAAAATCAATATTACTTCACAATCTTTCAACTAGTTATTGAAGGTTTAAATTTTATAACTAAAGTCTAATAAAGTAATAATAAGTCAACAAATCAATAAATTATATTGATTATAATTAGATAATAAATCAATTAATTATCTTATAAAGTATTTTAGTTGTAATTAAACTTTTAAATAACTGTTTCATTTTATATCACTGAAAACTACTGGTTGAATATATTTTTCATATATTTCTATTTAGAGTTCCGAATGAGTCGAGTTGAGTCAAATTTATTTTATAAAATTTTTCAACTCGACTTGATTCGAGTTATATAAATTTTAAACTCGACTCAATTTGA